GTGGACCGAGCCCACCTTTCCTCTTCCTCCAGGTGGCTTACCCAGAAGGGCGCCCGGCAGAAGAAAATCAACGAGTGGTTGGGGATCAAAAATGAGACCGAGGAGTAAGTGAACGCCTACCTGATGGGGGCCAGGGACGGCATCCCAGAGGAAGGACCGTTGTCAGTGGGTTTTGCAGAATGAGTAGGAGTTCACCAGCGAGGGAGAGTCGTCCAGGCGGCAGGGGAGCCTCAGAGGCTTGAGGGTGAATGACCGGGTGCCCTCCCTGCTTCCCGCACAGCCAGTATGCGCTGATGGAGGATGAGGATGACCTCCCCCACCATGAGGAACGCACGTGGTACGTGGGCAAGATCAACCGGACCCAGGCTGAGGAAATGCTGAGCGGCAAGCGGGATGGTACCTTCCTCATCCGTGAGAGCAGCCAGCGGGGCTGCTATGCCTGCTCCGTGGTGTGAGTGCCTGGTGGGGGCGCCGAGAGCGAGCGTAGGGCTGGGGGATCTGCACACTCCTGACTGCTCTCATGGAGCACCTACCGTGTGCTAGACTCTGGCAAGAACGGCCGGGAAGGAGCCCCCCCACCCCCCACCCCCCCATGGCTGCCACCGGCAGGAGGGCTTTGTTGGGGGGCAAGGGAGGAAGCTAGGGCAGCGTTCAGGCAGAAGGTGCCGGCATCTGGACCAGCTTGGGGTCCGGGAAGTGGGGCGATGCGAGTCCCGAGCGGAGGTCATCTGAGGGGGGTTAAGAGCAGGAGCATGGAGAACCCACGCGGGAGCCGCCCCCCCCCCGACCGTTGGCTCCTCTGCCTGCGCCCGCAGGGTGGACGGCGACACCAAGCACTGCGTCATCTACCGCACGGCCACGGGCTTCGGCTTCGCGGAGCCCTACAACCTGTACGGGTCGCTGAAGGAGCTGGTGCTGCACTACCAGCATGCCTCGCTGGTGCAGCACAACGATGCGCTCGCCGTCACGCTCGCCCACCCGGTGCGCGCGCCCGGCCCCGGGCCCCCGCCCGCCGCCCGCTGACGGCCGCGCGCCCGCCCCCGCGCCCAGCCCAGGCGGCCCTGCACGGCCTGGAGGGCTCCGTCTTTGGGGTTTTCTGTCTGTCTGTCTCTCTCCCATTTCTCTCTGTCTGAGCTTCTCTCCGTCTCTCCCTGCCACTCTGTCTCCTTCCCTCCCCGTCCATCTGTCCTTCTCTCTGTCCCTCCATGTCTCCGGGTTGGGGATCCTGCCTCCCTGGCCCCATAAGCCCCTCCCCCGTGGGCACCGCCCTCGGGCCACCCCGAACGCTGTGTCCTGCCCACCAGAGCCGCCGCGTCCCCCCCAGGGTCCCCGAAGACCCACTTGGCTGCACCTGCCATGTTTACAGAGGCCCCTGGGCTGTGCGGCCCCAGCCTGGGTGCCCCGATTTTTAAGCCATAGACCTGGGGTCACGGCAGGAAGGAACTTTACTTGGCCACTTCTAAGAACCACCTCGGCCGGGACATTCTGGGCCGGGCGGGACCCGCCCCACAGACCCCAACTTCCCCTCCAAACCCTGAAGTGAAACCACCACTTGGTTGTCCCCACAAAGGGGCCACGGCCAAGAAGTAACCCTCCAAAAAGAAAAAAATAAACGGGCGAGCCGGCCCCACCCTGCGGCAGGTCTCCCAGAAAGGGGGGCTGCCCGCAGGGCCAGTCACACCACTGCCCACGGCACTTCCACTCGATGGAGGGTCAAGGCTTCTCTCCGATCATGTTAGGTTCTGATTGTATTTTTTCTTGACTGTAAAGCCCTTTTTTCTCTCCTCTTTTGGGACGAGAGCCCTGGTTTTCTACACTACCCGCGGATCCCCCCTCCTGCCTGCCCAGCTAGGCTGGCGGGCAGCTTTTGTATGGTACGTTGATATGGATATGGATATAAAACCTGGAACATGTGGATGCTTCTGTTTTTGATGGCGGGGCTTCTCCAAGGCCACGGTGTGCTGGGGACCCCGGCATTCCCAGGGTCACACAGATCTGGCCCCTGGGTTTATAATTCCAGGGAGCCAAGGAAGGCCGACAACCCTCCCCCCTCACCCCACCACCACCCAGTTTAGCTGCTTGTGACTGGAGAAGGTGAGAGACTTGCCCAAGGTGCCAGGGCAGAGAGGCTCAGACCCTGAGATCCGCCCTACAGCATGGCCTGCTCAAGGCACCCCAGACTCCACCCCAGCTTCTCACCAGTGCCCAGGCTGCGCCCCCAACCCCGGCCCCTCAGGCTTGAGTCCCAGCACTCGGCCACCAGCCAGGCTCTCAGGAAAGTCACCTCCCCTCTGATGTGCAGCTTCATCATTACCAGGTGGGGTCAACAGCACGACCCCTCCCCTGCCGCCCAGAAAGGGCCCCTATGTCCTTAATGCCCTCAGTACCGGCCCCTCCGCGCTGACTCTCCTCTGACCCCCTCTCTCCACACCTGCCCCTGACGTGCAGGCCACCAGGTCCCAGGGGACATCGGCTTGGGGCCTCATGGTGTCTTTGACCTGGGCCACTCGTCACTCTCCTCTCCCCAGGGTCCCTGCCATCCTGTCCCTTTGAACCCTTTGCAAAGCCCATTTCCTTCGTGATGCCTCTCTAAGACTAAGCCGCACAACCCTGCAGAGTTAACCAGGAGTGCTTGCTGGGCAGGATAGAAGCCATAATAAATTGCTACAATTTTTCCAGTGGTGCTAAGCACCTATTGGATGAATTCACAAAGGTAACCTCACTCGTTTGATTGGCCCTGAAGAGACTTCCCCTTGGGGGTGGGGGAAGCAACTATTGACCCTACTTGGTAAGAGGAAGACTAAGCCTTGGCCCTCTCCTCTTCCCATACAGCACCTGTCAGGGCCCAGCATGTCCACAGCAGCCGGGGGTAAATAAACAAAGCTGCCCTCTGATCCATTTCTCCTCCACTGGGCTCAGAGGGCGGGAGCTGCCTCCCCTGGCCTCAGAGCCCGCGGGCCTTTCCAGGTGCTGCCCCTGCTGTGTGCCCAGGTCAGGAGGTGCCCCATGAGTAACCCCAGCCCAGATGCTGCCTCCCCTACAGGCTTCACCCACTTGCAACGGGGGACACAGGAGAAAGGTCACTTTCTAGATCCCATGACCCCAGCCCGCTGAGCCTGCAGACAGAAGATAACAGCCCACGTGGCCTCACATGGCCGCCTCAGGTGTCCGCTCTCAACCACCAGCCGTGTCTCCTTGGGAAAGTCACCCCCCCCCACCTCTGATCCTCAGATTCCTCTTACCAAGTAGGGTCAATAGTTGCTTCCCCCACCCCCAAGGGCCAGACAATCAAATGAGTGAGGTTACCTTTGTGAATTCATCCAATAGGTGCTTAGCAACCACTGGAAAAATTGTAGCAATTTATTATCGCTTCCGTCCTGCCCAGCAAGCTCAGCTAACGCTGCAGAGTTCTGGTGCTTAGTCTTAGAGAGGCATCACAAAGGAAATGGGCTTTGCGAAGGGTTCAAAGGGACAGGATGGCCTAACGCTGCAGAGTTGTGCTGCTTAGTCTTAGAGAGGCATCACAAAGGAAATGGGCTTTGCGAAGGGTTCAAAGGGACAGGATGGCAGGATCATCCAGCGTGGAGACTTCAGGGAAACCCCAGCCCGTGGAGACCTCAGGGAAACCCCAGCCCGGGGCCTGCTGCTATGGATAGCAGGCTGGGACTTCCCCCACGCCAGAAGAAGACACAGGAGCTGGGGAGCTGGGGATTTGACTGTAATCTGGGCCAGGTGTGGGTGTTTCCTCCCGTGGGATCAGGTCCTGTGTCACGCCTGGTATTTGAGGCCCTGCAAAGTCTGAACATCTGGGTTATTCCCTCACCGCCCCAGCCTCCACGCCTTTAGGCGGGCTATTCTCTGCCTGGTTACTGTCCTGGGTCAACACTTTTCCAGCGGTGCCCCCCACCCCCACCCCAGCCTGGGGCAACTCTCCCCCCACCCCACCCCCGGCTCTGAGCCCTCCCTGTGGCTTTATTCCCCAAACTTCACTCTTGTCCCCATTTGACAGAAGGGGAAGCTGAGGGTCCATCGCCTGAGGTGCCCAGTACGATCCGGAGGCAAACCCGGGTCCAGGTTTGGGTCCAGCAGGTTTGGGTCCCACACCACCAACCCCCCCAGCCTACCCCCTGTACACAGTATAGGCTTCGGGTAATGACTGCCCCAACCCGGGGCTTCTCTCCTCCCGTGGGAGTTCCCTGCGGGCCTCGTTGCCCACTCCCACCCCACCCCCACCACCTCCAGCTTTGGATGCTGGAAAGAAGGAACGCCAGCTTTCTTTATACCCGCCACCCCCGCCCCAGACAGGGCCGGGAGGACCAAGAAGCGCCAAGACCAGCGCTGGCTTCTGCTTTCTGGCTCAGCTGTGGCGCCGCCTGAGTCAGCCCCGCGCGACCACGCTTGGTGGGACTGCAGCGTCGGGGCTGGGGAGCCTGAGGCGAGCAGGGGGCGCCAGGGGCAGGTGGCGGGAGGGGGCCCACTCTCCGGCAGGGGATCAGCCGCCGTGAGAGGGCAGGGTAGCGAGGCGAGGTGCCCAGACTAGGAACCGGGGCGGAGGGGGGGGGGCCCTGGCTCACCCCGGCCGCCCCCAGAGCGGTCCGCGGGGCGGGCGCGGGGAGACCCTCCCGTCTCTCTCTGCGTCCCCGTGTCTCCGTGTCTCTGAAGCCGCCACCTAATCTCGGCTCGCGGAGCTCTGGCCCCAGCCTCACATGACCGGGCGGCCCTGCTGGCCCGGAGGGGTCGGGGTGGAGAGCGCGGGGCGCGGGGGAGGGCGGCGCCACGGCCTCGTGACTGCGGGCCCGGCACCTGGCGGGAGTGAGGATGGGGGCCAGGTTGGAAGGGGACCCAGACAGGCCAGCCGACCCCGAGAGACGCCCGCCCCAGCCCCCGGGGGCGTGGGCCCCCGGGAGGCGGGTCCGACCTGGGGGGCTGGGCCACCGCCAGGTTAAAGGCGGCTCCTTGTCGGGCCGCTGCTCCCGCCTCCGCACCCTCGCCCCGCTGTGATGGCCTCGTCGCCACTCCTGCCGTTCCTGCTGTTCCTGCTGCTGCTGCTGCTGCTGCCGCCGGAGGTCCCCGCGGCGGCGCGGGCATCCCTGCTGGAAACACTCCCCGAGGGGGCGGCCGCCTGCAAGGTAGGGACGGCAACGCGGCGGCGGCGGGGGGGGGGGGGGGGGGCAGCGGGCCCGGGCGCCCGGGCAGCAGGGTGCTGCGGAAGCGGCGGCTCCTCCCCTCTCCCCAGATTTTGCCGGGAAAGAGCGGGGTTCGGGGCCCCGGGTCCGCACCGAAGACCCCCCGGCGCTGTGGCCCCAATCCGAGTCGTTTCACTTCCCCATCTCGCGTCTGACACTCTCAGCTGTCCCCCACCCCGTCCCCGCCCTCCCCGCCCGAGGGTGCGTTGAGCTCCTACAGTGTACATCTGGGGCGGGAATGGAGTTTCCTTTCGGAGTGCAGGGGAAGCCCAGAGAAGTGGGCCCGTGGCACCGACCCTCCAGGTGCTGCTTCCTGGGTGCCTTTCGGCCAGGGAAGAGCTCGCGTGTTTCTGGCGCGGGGCAACCACATGCCCCGGAGGCTGAGCCACTTGCTTTTGCCTGCACCGGTACTGGCTGCCTGCCGCCCCGGCAACTGAAACCGGAAGTCAGCACATATTAGGCGCCGCCTCAGCAGTAGGGCTTGGGAGGGGCGTTCACCTGGGTCCCTTGAGAGGAAGAATAAATAAGGGGTCAGCCCAAGTGCAGGGCCTTGCTCAGCTCAGGGCCAAGGCTATGGGGATGAAGTGGCAACAAATGAGCATGCATTAGTCTCCTGTGGTATGCACCTCCGAGAAGGCAGGATGGAGAGCAGTGACCAGAAATGTGCATGTGTTGAGTCCTTACTGCATACATTTCCCCTGGGCGAGGGGTTTCACCTCAACTGAAGGAAAGCAAGAGCTGTTCATAAATTAAGTGCCTACTGTTTGCAAGTCTTTGTCACATCCGTTTTGCAGAAAAACTGAGATTGAGGGGCGCCCGGGTGGCCCAATCGTTAAGCGTCTGCCTTCGGCTCAGGTCATGGTCCCAGGGCCCTGCTGGGGCCCGGGGGGGGGGAGGGGGGGAAGCCTGCTTCTCCCTCTCCCTACTCCCCCTGCTTGTGTTCCCTCTCTCCCTGTGTCTCTCTCTGTCAAATAAAGAAATAAAATCTTAAAAAAAGAAACAACTGAGATTGAGGAAGATTTAGGGATGCAATAAAGCCTGAGAGTCAGGATTCTACCTGGCACCGTCTGAAAGGAGTGCAAGATGGAGCACCTACTGTTTGTAGCTGCAAGAGAACCAAGCAGGGCTATACTCCCCTCCCACCCCTTCCTCCCGCACAGGCTGGGGGCCTGTGCCTGCAGGTGCCCCCCAGGAAGTCACAAGCACCACCTGTCAACGTGAGCCTCTACTACGAGGCGCTGTGCCCCGGCTGCCGGGCCTTCCTGGTCCGAGAACTCTTCCCGACCTGGCTGATGGTCCTGGAGATCCTCAATGTCACACTGGTGCCCTATGGAAATGCCCAGGTATGCTGGCCCTGGGAAACCGAGGCACTAGGCCAGGGAAGGGGGCACCTGGTGCCAGCACTCACCTAGCTGCCTTGCAGGAACAAAATGTCAGCGGCAGGTGGGAGTTCACATGCCAGCACGGTGAGCAGGAATGCAAGCTGAACAAGGTGGAGGTGAGCAGCCCCCAGGGTACCTGAGTGGTGGGAGCACAGACATGGAGGGGGGAGATTGCCCATCGTAAGGAAGGCAAAAGCCAGGCTCAGAAGGGATTGGAGGCAGCTCCATCCTCTGCCTGCATGCCTCTTTAATCACATCTTCATTCACCGCTTCATTAGTGAACACCCGTGATCACTCGCAGAGCGGTCTAGGGCTGCTCTGGGCCCGCTTCATGCCCTTGCCTGTCCACCCCCTATCCCACAGGCCTGCCTGTGGGACCAGCTAGAGAAGAACTTGGCCATCCTGACCATTGTCTGCATAGAGGAAATGGATGACATGGAGAGAAATCTGAAACCGGTGAGCAACACCCCTCAGTTGGCCCCGGGTTGGGAGACCCTGGCCTTCCCTGTCCCCAGACAGACCCAGGTTCAGGTCCTGGCCTGACCACCACTCTCTGTGTAGCCCCAGGAAAATGGCCTTCCCTCTGGACGCCTCAAATCTCTGAAGCAGGGGAACAGAGATCTTTGGGGGAGCATGGGTAGATCAAGGAGGGCTTCCTGGAGGAGGTGCCTCTGAGCTGGTCTTGGATGAACAGAAGTGTTCAGGGACACAGATGATGATCCTCCTCTGGGGTATGGGGATGACAGGACAGGCCCGCCTACTTCTCTGGAGGATTATGAAAAAAAACACCTCCCAATGGAGTGACTCATTGACACCAATAGTTTATTCAGTCATCAAACATCTGGACCACCCAAAAGGCTCACCCTGGGACACCCCCAGCCCTGCAGAGTCATAGTGGGGCCAGAGGAGGACAGAGGAGGAAGGAGCCCTCGGAAGATTCTGGGGAAGGAAGGGGAAGAGTGTTCCTGGTAGAGGGAACAGCACATACGGAAGCTCTGAGGAAAATGAGATACCGTAAGGGGTGTGGGGCTGCGGGTCTGGTCTTCTGAGACGCAGAAGCAGCCTGAGCCCCTGCCTTGGGGGCCTCCACTCAGGTAGGTGTTAAGCACGTGCTGTTTATGCTGTGGACCCAAATATCTCCTGTTACCAGGAAGGTACAAGCTTGGCCCTGCGGGGGGCTGGAGGAGAGACCGTTGGGGAGATAACACAGAGGAAGCTGAGGCAATGCTCCCACTCAACCAGCAACCCTTGTCCGCCCTCAGTGCCTGCAGATCTATGCCCCAGAGGTGTCCCCGGACACCATCATGGAGTGCGCAATGGGGGACCGTGGCATGCAGCTCTTGCACGTCAATGCCCAGCTTACAGATGCCCTGCAGCCGCCGCACGAGTATGTGCCCTGGGTCGTCGTCAATGGGGTAAGAACTCTTCTAGCCCTCGGTATGGCCACCGCGCCACCACCAGGATGACGGATATGCTCTCTGGTCTGGGAGGCAGGGGCCAGACTTGGGGCCATTTGCAGCCCCTTCTGGGCTGGACACAGGTTGGTGGGGGGGGGGGCAAGTGGGACTGGATGACTTCCTGTCTTGCTTCGTGCAGAAACCCCTGAAAGATCCGAGTCAGCTCCTAAGCCTCGTCTGCCATCTGTACCAGGCAAGCTGGAAGGGGACCGGAGGGGTCTGCTGGGGGCGGGGGTGGGCAGCGGCTCCTTTCGGGACCCCCAGCTCATGGCCGTCCCCTCCAGGGTGAGAAGCCAGACATTTGCCAACCCATGGCCAGCTCCCGGAGGGAAGTCTGCTTCAAGTGACAGCTGGTGCCCAGGAAGGAGCTGCTGGAGGAAGAGCAAAAGGGCACCTGTCCCTGTCTTTCCTGATCCCTGACTCTCAGCAGCTGCTTCCCATCGTCCAGATAACTTCTACACATTCCATGAAAGCCCAGACTCAGAATCCTGCCCCCAGATCAAGCATCTCGCCCCACTGAGAATGGTGCTACACTGAAACGAGTTTAATAAACACTTCTGGATTTTGTGATCCCTTTGATAAGTTAACAAGTCCCCCTGGACCAACACGCTGCTGGGACCCCCTGAGAAGTCCCCTTTCTAGGAGAGGCAGAACCAGACACTCTTCACCCCACAGGGAGCAGACCCAGGCCAGAGGGAGGCACCAGGGCTGGAGGAGCCCAGAGAGGGAGTGAAGGCTCTGCTTAGGGAATAGGAGCACTGGGGCTGGGGTTTTGAAGGGTGACTAGGAGTTCATGAGGCAGAAGACGTATTCAGTAATTCAACAGACAGCCCTTAACTACTCCCTTTTGCAGACGCCACACTGGGTGATAGGAGTTGGGCAGATATGGGCCAGAGGGAGGCATACCTCATGAATACATGGGAAATACCCACTGAAACTGAGTAAAACTCCCCAAAGTGGCACAAGCCACCACTTTATTTTTTTTAAGCTTTTTTATTTTATTTTATTTTTTTCAAAGATTTTATTTATTTATTTGACAGAGAGAGACACAGCCAGAGAGGGAACACGAGCAGGGGGAGTGGGAGAGGGAGAAGCAGGCTTCTCGCTGAGCGGGGAGCCCAATGCGGGGCTCGATCCCAGGACCCTGGGATCATGACCTGA